GTGGTGATCCAATTGAAATATTATGAAGTCCACCATGGCAGCACTTGACTGGCTTGGGAACTCTGCTCTTCAAAAAATCATAGAAGAAATACTGAATATCTAACCTAATGCAGTGGTAAGGAGCTTGGAGGCGATCAGCATGGTGATTAAATGAGTAGCTTGAAGGAAAGAGGAATGTAGGTTGATTCTCAGATGGCACTTCAATGTTTTGGGGGAATAGCTTGTATGTACTGATAACCAAAATTAGGATTAAAGGACACAGAACAGGTTTTTAAAAAGAGATGACTTATTCAGCTTTAGAAATTTTGTGTTTGAAAATGTTTGAGCTATCCCTATTGAGAGTTCTACTGGGCACCCAGAAATCAAATGCTGGAAATTATAGCAATAGCCCAAATTGAGATACAAACCTGAAAATAATTAATATGTAGTGAAATTAAGTGGAGTCTAGTAGACTAACTGTATCGGGTTAAGTAAAAACGGAGCTGAGGACAGAACCCAGATAACTATTAAAGAGTGTAGTAGTTAGCATAGTCAAGAAAGAGACTGAGAAGGGCATTGAGAGGCAAAAATCATGTAACATGTGAAGTGTCAGGAAGAAGGAGACTGACAGTTTTAAAGGGAGTGAGACAAGAAGTAATACAAAGAACAAATTTGGCTGTCAATGATTTGGCAACTAGGAAGTTATTGGTGACCGTGGAAAAAGCCATTTTATTGTTATAACTGGGTCAGATATCAAATTGCAAAAGTTAGAAAGTGGATAGAAAATGATGAAGAGGAGACAGAGTCACATACTTCACTGGGAATTGAGGAGCAAAGAGAATATGTAGTTACAGGGCACAGAGTCGAAGAAGGTTTAGATTCATCTTTGCTTATTTATTTTCAGGAAGAATGAAATATGAATGTATTTATAGCATCACAGTCACTTCACAGGCAGCCTCTAGCTATTAGCTCTATAAATCACATGTAAAGGGGGACCCTCTCAAACCCTGAAGGCTGTGGCAGTTTCTCTCTTGCTTGTTCCACTGGAAACAACCACCTACCAGTATAATAAATTCACCTATGTGATTTACTTTCTCAATCCAGTGAAAAGTCACATCCTGGGTGATGTTTTATGACATATCAATGTACTTTCACATGGAGGAGAGGTAGGCATGATATTCATCGCCGCCCACAAATACTGGGGACGGTTTTGTCAGAGTGTGTGAAAACTTGCTGGGAGTTTAAGTGGACATAACTGGAACTGTTCGCGTGACCCACATCCCAGGGAGTATTGTTAATAATCTACTAGTCACTGTGTCCTTTCTTCATGCTGTTAGCTGGGGGTAGCACATGACCTTTGTGATTTTGTGTTAATTTTAAAATTTGAAGTTTCACTGCTCCCTCAAGAAAATTTTTAAATAAATCTGTTTTTTTTTTTAATGATTTTTTCCCATCAATAGCTTTCCTCCCAAGGAACATTCTTATGCAGAAGGGCAACCTACATCTACCATTTTAAGCCAGAAATATTTGGCACACTCTATTTCCAGTGCTACAGAATGGGGAGTATACGTCTATTAAAATTCTTTACTGATTCTTTGCAAGACCAGTTCTACAGCAGAAAACTCATTTTCCGACAGGAATTTTAAACCATATATACATGTTGTCTACATGCTTTAAAACTTTTTTACATATTATATTGCTATATTAAAGGCATCAGCTTTTTAAAAAGGAAATTGCTTTGGGGGACAGCATGCTCATTGAAGCTGCAGAGTATTTTCCTTCTGTTTTTTTTCCTGACCTCCCCCAAATCCCAATTTACATTTTCTCAGCACAAATCATTGATCCTAATGTGATGGGAGGAATTGAGGTCAGAAAGCTAATAAATGGCAGGTGTCTTCCTCCATTGCTGTTTTCAGTCATTGTGCATACTACACAGTATTGTGTAATAGACACTGAGTGGCTCTGATATCCCACTGCCTCAAACAAGCCTTAGCTCCACCATTTACTGCTGTGTGACATTTGGCAAGTTACTTGACCTTTCTGTGCTTCAAGCTCCTCCTCCTTAAAGTGCAAGGAATACTGGTGCCTGCCTCACAAGGTGTTATGAATTTTAAATGAGAGAAATGCAGGTAAACTGCTTGTAACGTGCCTGGCATATGTAAGTACAGCTTAGCTATTATCACTTTTTAAAAGCACAAAAAAGGTACATGGTTTTACTCTGTTGTAGAATGTACTAATATTTTTGATTACTAGAAAATGAGGACTCACGATTGTGATTAAATAAATAGGAAAAGAACTGATATTCAGGAATGAGCAAAGATTTTAAAGCTAAATAAATCTGAATGTGGACTTCCATTCTGCCACTTAGTGCTCTGTAACTAACCTTAGACAGATTGTTTCATCTCTCTGAGCCCAAATTTTCCGAGTGAAAAAGAGAGAATGATAGTTACCTTACGTGTTTCTTATAAAGATGAGAGAATATTGTGAGGGACTCAGAGTATAATAAATACTTAATGAATTTAAGTTTCTTGCTATAGTTTTAAATTCTTATTTTATTTTAAAGGCAAACCTGCATGCACAAGAAAGTAAAAAGGAAACCAAATACACGTCTAAAGCAAAACACCCCTTTCTTTATTGCTTCCTTGAGTTGTTGGGAAAAGAAAAAAAATCCTGAAAGCTTTGAGAAAAGAATGTTTGACTGTTTTTCATTACTGTATAAATCCAAATTTTAGAAGTTTTGTTCATGTTTGTAGCACACAGAGTCATTGAATTGCAACATCTTTAGTAGATTTTCTGTTGGATTTGGAGAGAACCCTTAGGTAATATATTTATCAATCCAAAGCAAAAATCCAAAGTAAAAAAAAAAAAAAATTACACATACATAAAATTTATTTCCAAATGTCAACATATTATTTTCTTCAATGATCTGTAAGTCTTCTAAAAGGCTATTTACTTAATTTTGGCAGGATATAGTTTAAACAGTAGAGGCAAATAAGCATGACGTTTGTTTTCAAAGCTCTCCACAGGAAGGGTCTATATTCTCCAACATAGCCAATTTGTAAACCTTATTATTAAAACACTAGAATATCTCCAAAAATTGTTATTACCATTGAATGGATTAGAATTTTGTTTTGCTGAAGGAATAGAAAACTGGCTTAAACGCATATCAGCTTGTTTTTCTCACATTAAAAGCTATCTGGACAAAGGTGCGGCCAGTATTGGATCAGTAGTTCAATAAATTCAGCCTTAGCATGTCTGTTAATCTTTTAGCCTTTCCCTTGTGATTGTTGCCTAATGGACAACAGATGACTATAACAAGAGCCAGTATCATGCCCAAGTTGAAGACAGGCAAAAGGAGTGATTGACAATTACAAATGCTTTTCCTTTTCATCAAGAAGAGCAAGTCTTCCTAAAGGCTACAAGAAGACTTATTGACCAGGACTGTGGCACGTGACCACCCCTCTGCAAGGAAAGTGGAAGAAGTATTTAATTGTCCAGCTTCTATAATGGAAATGTCAAGGGAGAAGGGGATGTCAGTGTCTGTTGGAGTTGGTGAATAATGTTTGATACACGATTATCAAGGAACTATTTGTTCTAAAGTCTACAAACCAAGCTAACTAGACCTGTTGTCTGCTCTAATCTTTACTGCCCTTAGAAAACACTATTTCTAATTCTGCTTTATACACTTAAATATTGACATTAGGTTACTCAACATTATTTCCTAAATGGAATATATGTATTTCATTAGTGCTAAATTTTATACTAGTTGTAGAATAGTTGTGTTTTCTGTTATCGTTTCTACCTGAGCTAAGAATATTTTCTTTGGTAACAATTCTTTATTGCTTGAAATGTGACAGTTTTGCACTAATGAATCCATAAAGACATTATGTTACAGGTTGGGGGGCAAAGCATCTGTTGGTATGATCAAATCCTTAACCTAATGGCTGTTAAATAATTCCCCACACATTCTGAAGTCTTACCTAATTTCAACATGCACCACTTACTTTTCTTCCTCTTTTATGAAACTCCTTAGACCATTACAATAATTTCATGACATTCATTCCATCTGGGAACATTGGAGTCACATTTGCTTTGGCTGTTTTACCCCCCTTTCTCATAGGTTGGTAATTTTTACCAAGCTACTACCTAATATTAATATATTTCAAAAATATCATCTCTTAATTAGTGAAGTCCTGAGGATGAAATAGTGGCTGTTTTTGGCCCAGGTGTATACACCAAGGAATGTATGGTTTGTAGGTATTGCAAAATCATTAATAAATCTAACTAAAACTTGGCCTGCTTTTTACTGCCACCATGTACTGCCAATTCTAAACAATGTACTTGATAAAATACCCTACCTGTTAGGGCAAGTCACTATGAGCCCACCTCTCCACTTTTAGTATGCTCTGCTTTGTAAATTTCAATTTTTCACTTTCAAATAAGTTAATAGTTTAAGACATGCAAACAGTGTCTGAAATATTTTGTATGTGAGAAAATTCAGGGTTTCTTTTCCTGGTTTTATCACCTTGATTACAGTCATGGCATCACAACTTGAGTAAAAACAAAAGGGGAAAAAAGAAATAGGATTTAAGTGCAAATTGGACATAAATATAAAACCGTAATAAAGGTAGAATTTGACTATTTTCTGCAGCATATTTCTGCTTTTAAGCTATTGAATACCATTTCTTTCCTAAAAGGGAAAAAAAAAATGAAAAGCCCAAACTCAAGTTACATTTATTACAGTTTTTCTTATTTCAAAATGGATATCTCAAACTCTGTATTTCTATTTTGGTTTTGGGCTAAACATAGAATACAAGAAAGGAGCAGCATAAGGTAAATTCATACCATTTGAGGAATTGTATATAATGAATTCGATTGTATAATAATGTGAAATACTGAATGTTAAGTGCTTGCTAGCATTCCAATCTTTGTTTTTCTGTTATATTGAATTAAAACAACAACAACAACAAAGTAGGAAGAGATAAATTTTTCAAGTTCACTGTGATCCTTTACTTTTTTAGGCATTTTTGGACAGAAACTGGAGGATACTGTTCGTTATGAGAAGAGATACGGAAACCGTCTGGCTCCGATGTTGGTGGAGCAGTGCGTGGACTTTATCCGACAAAGGGGGCTGAAAGAAGAGGGACTCTTTCGACTGCCAGGCCAGGCTAATCTTGTTAAGGAGCTCCAAGATGCCTTTGACTGTGGGGAGAAGCCATCATTTGACAGGTAGAGTCACAATTTTACTAACCATCTTTACTGAGAAATTCAGACTGAACTGACAGGATGCAGTGAGCTGAGGAGGCATAACCTTGATTGATGTGTCAACAGTTTGCAACATAGATTATTTGCCTGCAGGAGTTTGCATTGTTTCTATTAAGTTACAAAGTCAAAAATTTGGCACCTTAGATATTTTTCTCTTCCATACTTTCCATCTTAAAACATTCTTTTTTGTTCTTTTTCTTTGGTACTAAAGTAAAACTGTATTAAACTTTTGCACTGGAAAAAGTGAACTTATGAAATAGGATTCTTCTCTTTTAATTTTTTTAAATTCTTTCCATTAAGGATCAATAAAAGTATTATGAGTAGAGATTGAAATATTTGCAATGTAATTTAAAATAAGTATTCAATAATAACAAAAGCATTATATTTTTAAATATATGACTCTACTTTAATCTAGAATAGTTTTACAGGGAAACAAGGAGAAGTACAGCATGGTGAAAATAAAAGAATAATGGCAGCCCCAGAAAAGAAAATATAAAGCATTCCTAACTCCACAAATTAAGAGTTAATCATGGCTAATATTTTGTGAATTATCTTCTTCTCTTTACTTTTTAAAAGCTTAGTAGAAAAAGTAAAATTTCATCTTAATATTATCAACATTATATACCAAAAATGTTTCCATATAGTTGAAAAATATATAATAGTTGAAAAATATCCATTTATTCTAATATATTTTAACTTAACATTTTATCATTAACAACTTCTGTAAGTCTCTTTTTAAATATCTAATATTTCACTCTACAGGTATATTATTCATAACTACTTCAATATTGTCGGACATTTACATTATGACATTTTCATTATTATAAATACTATTGTAGTGGATATACATTTGCATAAATGCTTTCTATTTTTGGATTACTTAGGATAAATTCTCAGCATTGGAATTTTTGGATAAGAGTAATCCTGATACTTGAAAATTAAAAATAGCCTACTGTCTTAGTCCATTCAGGCTGTCATAACAAAATATCATAAATGGAGTGGTTTATAAACAAAATTTATTTCTGAAAATTCTGGATTCTGAAAATTCAGTCAAGGCACTGGCAAATCCGTGTCTGAAGAGAACTTGATATCAGTTCATAGATGGTACCTTTTCACTGTGCCCTCAGATGGTGGAAAGTACAGGGCAGCTCTCTCTGGGGCCTCCTTTTTTTAATTTTATTAGACTTTAAGTTCTGGGATACACGTGCAGAACATGCAGGTTTGTTACATAGGTATACAGGTGCCGTGGTGGTTTGCTGCACCCATCAACCTGTCATCTACATTGGGTATTTCTCCTAATGTTATCCCTCTCCTTGCCCCCGCACCCCCCAACAGGCCCTGGTGTGTGATGTTCCCCTCCCTGTGTCCATGTGTTCTCATTGCACAACTCCCACTTATGAGTGAGAACATGCGGTGTTTGGTTTTCTGTTCTGGTGTTAGTTTGCTGAGAATGACGGTTTCCAGCTTCATTCATGTC